GCCCCGTAAGTGGAAGTGCAGTCTACTACAAAGAACGCCAACATTATTTTCTTGGACCCCAGATCTACCTCCAAAGGTAATATCCCATGAGTCATGGTGATGGCACCTGAAAAGCTCGAGACTGTAAGGTTTGTGGGAATAAGATCTTCAGTGCTTCTCCCCATCCTCTTCATCTGCTTGGCTGGCAATATGTTAACAGCCGTTCCTCCATCAATCAAAATTCTTTTGAAAGGTACACCTTCCAGATGAGCTGAAACGTATATAGGCTTCAGGTGGTTGGCCAACGAAATACTTGGGTGGCTGAACACCATTTTATCTGTGTAAATCCGTAGGGGACCACATTTAGGTACTTTTGAGGATTCAACCTTGCCTGAGTCTTCCTCTGTAACTACCTCCACATTGACGTGAGCCATCATCGGCTCAGTTGTTAAATAATCACCTTCCATGGTAGCGGGCTGGTCAGTCCTGGCGCCAAACATGGCGGATAATACATACGTAATGTTGATGTGGAAGTTGCTGGGTTCGAGCAAGTCCTCCTTCTTGCTCCTAATGTGATCCATGAACTCGTCTAACCAGGCCATTGCATCGGCTGGTAGTAAGGGCTCTGGTATCCCTTCCTGTTGTGGTTGATTCATGTCTCCGTACAGCGCTTGCTTTGGAACTTCACCAAACGGATCCAAAGGCAAAAAGGTTGGTCTCCTCTCAGATGCAACAGTTTCCTCATGGGTGGGCCCTGGCCTCCAACCAGGTGTTGGCATCATAGTCAGATCTTCCTGAGCCCTTCTTAAGATCCTATACTTGCCAGGATGTTGGCTTTGTGGCACATGATTCCCCATACCCTCCGTCTTGCCGTTGGCCCTTTCTACTTCCTTCTTACTTCGCCAACGAAGCTGACTACTACTTCCAGATGTTGCCCTCTCTGGCTTTTGATTTTTTGAGGCTTCAGAGGTGATGGGGGTCATCAGGGAATTCATGTAGGCTTTGTGCTGCCTTTGAACCCTTCTGACCATGGATGCTCCCATTGGTCTGGTGGGCTGCCCATCTTTTCTAACTACATACCATTTCCGCCCACGATATGCAGGAGTTGCTTTCTTAACAGGATTAGCTATCCCATCAGTTCTTTTGACTTCCTTCCCCTTTTGGCCATTTTGAAGCTGCTCTGTACTTCTTTGGAGTTTGGCTTCCATGTCCTCTGCCTCGTCAGAAACTTCATAGTTTCGAAACTCGTCAGAAACTTCATAGTTTCGAAATACTTCTAACAACGCCTTGGGTTGGGAATCACCTCCTAAACGTTGAAAAACGCTTCGGGAAGTATTTTTTCTTGTTGCCTGTTTAAGCCTTTCGCGGGCTTCTCTTTTAATTAACTCGTGATCAATAAGGACTCCAGCTGGGGGAATCTCGAGTTCACATTCACACTGGCATTTACTACACATAACCAGTCCTTTGATTATGGCAGCCTTTGGGTACTCGGATGGTTTGCCTATCCCTTCCGTAGGTCGTTTGGCTAGTTTCCCTTCTTCTTCTTCCCTTATAATTTTCCCTTTTCCTTTCTCTGCCCAGGTCATGTTGAGCATGTTTACCGGGGCTTCAGAAAAGGGCAACACAGGGTTGACTATGACTACCTCATCTGGTTGGGTAGTCCTGTGTCTTTCTCCTTTGGGAGGAGCCAAACCTGTCTCATTTCTAGAGCCTAGGGAGGCTTCATTCAGTCTCTATAGCATTTGAAACAATGTATTCTGTAAATCTTCTGGCATGTTTATCTTTATCTTCAGATCAGAGGATCCCACCGGGCGTGCCAAAACTATGTTCGTCGCAGGAATCTCCTGGCGGACGAGCACACAACTCCCCTGGGAGAATGGCGTCGGTTGAGGGTATCTGTCGTACTTCTGCTTTCTTCTCGGGCTCGCTCGGGCAAGCCTTTGTCGGGCAGATCTTGGTCGGGCAAGACACACTTCGGGCAAGGCTCGTCGGGCAGTTCTGAAAGAGAAGGACAGAGTTAATTTGAAATGGTGCCTTTGTGGGGCCTTAGGTGTAGGCCTTAAGGCTCACAATCAAGATTAACTTTGTCGTGCTCAGGCGTGCCACTGCCATCTTCAGTATGGCAGATGTTGAATGGGTGTTAAGCTTTGATTGAATATGTATACGCCCGAGAAACCAAGTTAGATATAACAGGTGCCTTTGTGGGGCCTTAGGTATAGGCCTTGAGGCTTCCTGTCAAACTAAACCAGCGCTTGGATGTATCATATTTTGGTCTTTTATGGTTGCCAGAGTCTTATCACTATTATACCTTTGATTATCTGAATCCAAGAGGTAGGACGAACCCAAATGAGTGCCTTTGTAGGGCCTTAGGTATAGGCCTTGAGGCTTCCCATCAGAGTTAATCCTTATACTCGGACCAACTAGACCGCAACATGAAATGAAGCTAAATAGATGCCTTCGTGGGGCCTTAGGTGTAGGCCTTGAGGCTTTCTATCAGAATTCACTCCATGCTTAAGCCTTTTCTATGAATCAAGATATAATAGCAACAAAACGGAGAAATAGATTGATTACTTGCGCCCCAAGTAACTTCGGACTTCTCGCTTATCAAGGATTGTCGTGGATGAGTTGAGTCCACATAGAGTTCTTTTTTATGCCTTGAGGCCAAGGACTTTTAAGCTGATCTTTAAATTACATGCCCACCGGGCTTAAGACTTAGATCTGATTTGAACTCTGACGCGATTCAGATCGGATTCAAGTGCTGAAGACTCATTTTCATTATGACTTTGCTAGAAATAACTTGTATATAACTGGGAATATATAACATGTTATTGTGCTTTTAAAAGAAAGAAAAGACAAAGACAGAGCAAAGATAGTCGGGTAAGTTTGAACCTTATCGGCCAAGGCTGAACTTCTTACAAAATCTATCTTTGTGGCTCTGTCAGAGGTCTGAAAGCTTTTAGAGGGGTTGACGGGGGAGAAGAGGATACAAAATGAATCGATACCACCATGAACAAGGTAGCAGAGCTATTACAAGGGTTTGGGAAGGTTTATCCCGAATGGGATGAAGGCTTGTGCTGACTACAACTTCGTTGAAGGCAAATCTGGCTTGAGCAGAGTTTTGGCTTTTGTTTGTTTGTTTGAGTGTCCCTAATTCTGTCTTCTCTTCCTCCTTTTATAGACGACTTCAGCTTGGGTTCCTGTAGCAATAGCGGTGCCCGAATGCGGTTTGGTGATGACTCACTAGCTTTTTTACATGAATGCCACCAATAAAGTACTTTATTGGGCTGTGTAGTGACTGAATAGCCTACCCCCTGTGGTCTTTGAGCAGGTAAGCAGGTGGCCTTTGTAACTTGTGCCCAGCCGAAAGCCTCTTTCCTGCCTCCTAAGTTTTCCTCTGGGCCTTGGGTTTGGGCCGACTTTCTCTCTGGCCCAAAGTTCAGATTTTATCCCAAACATATTCAATCTCTTATGTCAGTACGAAAACTTTTCAATGGCACCACAATAAAGAACTGAGGAACAAATAATCAAAAATTGGTTTCTGAATATTAGTTACCTTTGCTTTATAATTTTCTTTCCCTCAATTAGTATAACTCGATTAGTATATGTTACTCACATGTATATATGAAATTATCATGTTTAAACCATATACCCTCTCTTCTAATAACCAAGTTCAAACCATAAATATCAACACCGATTGCTTTGATAAATGACTTCATCGAGCTTGCTGAGTTGACGCGCTTCATCAGTCTTCCAGTGCAAGATCAGCAAAATTTCAGAGTTCAAACCATATATATCAACACCGATTGCTTTGATAAATGACTTCATCGAGCTTGCTGAGTTGACGCGCTTCATCAGTCTTCCAGTGCAAGATCAGAACAAAATTTCAGATATACATACATACATACATACATACATACATACATACATGCATGCTTATAAAATCAACAACGACATTTGAAGAAAGTGGTTGTATTTATCACTATATCAATTAACCAAAACTATGAGCATGAAAACAAAGAAAAAAAAACCTAAAACATGCCGTGGTTTTCTAGTCATGGCTAGTTCGATATAGTTATGAACCAACTATTCATATCGTTACAAAATTGAATAAAGAAAGATTTGAAGTACAGGGTATTTACTTCGAAACTCAAATAATTTGGATACAATTAACACGATCAATAATTATAACAGAAGGTATAATCGTTAATTATTAATATGCCAAAATCCATGTATTATCGTACATGCGATCACATGATATATGACTATATAATGACATCAAGAATTACCACTCCAATCAAGAATTATTGACATATTGATCAGCTTTCTTGCTTATTAGCCTAAACTTTTATTGTTTTAATCATATAATCAAGGGCTCTGATACCACTTGTCAAGTTTAAATGGTTATATAATTAAAACACAAACAAAGGAGTGGCTAACCTGATCGAAGTGGCAACCATGGAAGACGAACATGAGAAGATGAGTAGCAATACCGAAATCTTCTACAAACACCTAGCTAGATACAACTACTTTATGGGAAGTGTTTTGTTGTGTGTCTAGGATTTGCATGGACCTTAGTATCCATCCACAAACCCAAATCCCACTTTCTTAGCCTACCAGTTAGGTATCATAAACACATATTTATCAAGGATTCAAACCTTATTTGGATTCCAAGACACACATTCATAAGGCTGATATAAAGAGATCAAATCACAATCTTAGCATTACTCTCTATTACTTCATTCCTATTACAGTGTAGACCATTTAAAGATTTATTTATATTGGATTAAAACCAACATGTATTTCGTTTCTGTTAATAAATCGTATTGAATGTTATCAGATCTCTACGTATTAGAGAATTGATTTGATTAAGAATTGTCATTGCATTGTATATGAAAAGGGTATACGAAAAGCATAATTAAGCTTCCATTAAACATTTAACAAGAAGAATAGAAAAGATTGCTTGTAGTTTTCTTTATTCTTTCAATAATTAACTATGTTTACACGATTTTATAGACTGAGAAACCAACAAGTTTCTTCACATAAACTGAAGATACATACGATTTTCCTAAATTCAATTTACTACAAGGAGTACCCTAGCTACTAAGTACGTACTAATCATCAAAGCTCAAAGCTCAAAATCCTTATTGCAAAACTTTATTATCAAATTAACTCGCCTATTATCCTCGAAAACACATCGTCATCACCATCATACTGATCAATGCTTGATGAAAACCCGCTCACGGGCCCAGAGGACTTGAATGCCATCAGATCATCTGGCGACACGAGATAATCACTCGGTAGCCAATGGTTGTCGTGGCTTGTCAGCGTATGATCACTTGCTGCCTTGACAATCAGTTCTTCTTTAACTGATGATGAAGCAAAGGATGCGAAAAATGGGTCCTCTTGTTTGTTTGTCAAACAATTGGCGTTGTCAAAACTAATGAACATTGAAGAATCTCTAAGATTTGTGCAATCCAATACCAGGTCAGAAGTTTTGAAGTAGTCTCTGCACGTGTGGGTGCCATAATATGTGGTTCGTAACACTGATGGATGATCTTGAACTTGTTGAACATGCTTGGTTGCTTTGCACCCTTGGTCGAATTTGTAAGTGCATCTAAAGTAGTTCCTGCATACACATAACATAACTATGGTCAACTTCATTTCTTGTAATTATTACCATTGTAACTATTGAAATTTGTTTCTATTTTACAAGGTAAATCGTATATATGTATGTACCTAGGATGCTTCGCATTGTGGATAACTTTATGTCCATACTTTCTCCATGCATGACCATCGTCAATCAAACCAGGAGTATCTCTAGTCCAAGAGTGTGTAGTCTTTCTGCAAAGAATCAACAAGTTGCAACTCTTTATTAGAACTTTTAAATCAATAAATTGGGCAGAATTCTCATCTATTTTTTTGATAAAATGTACGGTTAACGTTAACTGGTAATGCTGGCATTATGCTGCCATGGTAAGAAGGATAGGAATGGATATTTAGATCATTAAATACAAGGAACAACTGAAGCATCCAAATTTTGTTAGAATATAGCATAACATGAACATATAAGAGCAAATGGTAGTCTTCACTCTTTTGTCTCAATAGAAATTTCTATGCATTATTGAATAGAAAAATACAATTATATTCATCCACAAGAATCTAACCGTTGTTATGAGAAAATTAATTATAATTCTAGTTGTTCACACATCCACATAAATCTAACAACTGTTATGAACAAATTAATTACAGTTATTCTTATCACGGGTGGGTCATTAGTTCTCAAAGAGACTATTTAGTATTGTAGGTATTATACATAAATGTTTGAAATTGAACAATCAGGTAATCATACATGGAAAGATCCTTTTACTGGAAAAAAAATTCATTTTAAACAATATGTTAATTATGCAGATGTTGATGATCATATTACCTAGGTAGTAATTAATTAGAGAAATATAACTAATTACCTTCTCTTGTAAGAACCTCTACCATCCTTGAAGGTTGAAGTGCTCTTACAACTGATCTCCTCCTCAGTATAATCTTCAGACTTAATAGTAGCTGCATGATCATGATTAGCATCCCAAGATGATAAATCAGCACCACCACCACTAACAACACTACCACCGTCACTAACACCACCACCACCACCACCACCACCACTAACAACACTACCACCGTCACTAACACCACCACCACCACCACTAACACCACTACTATTTCCTTGAATCTGGTCAGAAACAAACTCCTGATCAGACTCCTTCCCATTTAAAATCAAAAGGGTATTAACAAAACCTTCAGCCGATCCCTCATCATCACCGTTAACAACTGACCTGTTATCGTAAGCCGTACTAAGTTGACTTGCCAGTTCACGGCCTTGGATCAACTCCTCCATAACCCTCTCCCTATTTGAGAGCACACTGTCCGACCACGACCACTCCATTAATCCTAATCTCCTGCTTAACTAACTACTATAGCGATTAAAAGTTAATTAATCTCTCTTGTTTATGTGAGGGATTATGGTTTTGTTAGCTGTAGCCAAAGTGTTGGATGGGAGGTATCCTTTTATATCCGTCAAAAAACTCCTCTGACATTGCAATTAATCTTAAATTGATGTATGAAATAGCAATATTAAAAGATGAGGTATGAATTACTATGTGACCCAAAGTTGAGATGATAAAATGTAATTTACTATATGCCACAATTTTATTTGTTACTAATGTGGCCTATTGAATTTAAATGTTAAATCTTTTTCCTTTTCAATGAATGGAGAAATTTTTTAGTGTGCCGAATAGTATATCAAGTGTCAAAATATAAATGAATGAAATTTTTTTTTTTTTAAGTTTTCAACTAATTGTATTATCACTTGGTTTATCGAGCCGTATTCCCGGCACATTAAAAAATTTCTCTAATAAATGTGTTAAATATTTATTTTATTAAGATAGTGGGCCTCATAATTACATTATTTATTAAAAAAATAATCAAAATTGGTGTAATTTTCATTCTATTGGTTGTCAATATGATCCATGTATTAATAAAAAAATTAAAGCCATTTGACTCTATCTTTGTTTGTTGTAAAAAAGACAGATAAAAAATAAGAAATTAAATTACTCAGCTACTACGTCATGGACGACATCTTTTTTTACAACACTTTAATGTGTTTTATTTCTAGTTAGTATATTTGACATCTGCTTAGATTTGACATCTCCTTGTAAGATGAGCTCATGTTGAAGGAAGGAGAAGTGAAAGTCCAGTAATTCGACACCATCCCCGCCATTAAGGTCTATCTTTTCTACCAATCGCTAGATTAGCCCTCGACATAATTCTATATTTGGTTGACTGTTCCACACGCGGTTGTTCTATACTTGTTGCGATAGTACGATATGTTTTACGACGTCATTGATGAGGTAACCCTAGTGTCGTCAGCCACGTGTTCTAATTAATTTTATTTTTTTATAATATTAGCTAACCAACAAAACAAATTCACTAGTTGTTGGGCCATCTATATTATCTTATTATCCTCATTCTGAAATTATACTCTCTTGCCCTTTGGGCGAATTACGATTGCATCCTTTAGAATTGTGCTCTTGGAGCGTTTGAGAGGTGGAGACTTTAGTTATATATGGCAAAGAGAGTTGCATTAGGGTTGTTAATACGATGACACTAAGGTGGTAGTTTACATCTTCAACGTGGCTGTAAAATCTCGTATATTACGTAATATAATATATATGTGTGTGTATTTCTCTTATTATTCAGATTTACTATTTCATTTTCGTATCGCTTGGAATTATTGACCTATCACCCTTATACCCATTAGGAAACCATGTTTTTACATCTTATCTTAGTTAGATTTTTGACGTGGCATATTCCGGAGCAACTGATTAAAATAGCGTTAGTAGTTGTTAAACCCATGGAGGTACGGAAATTATTATTTGCGTGCAACAGTACCAGGTGTTTGGTTTATTAGAGTGAGTAAACACTTTGATGCCACGACTATCATATATGCTGGTGACTTATCTTCTTCTTATTGTACTTTCAAAAGACAGAGCCCCTAAGTAACTCAGTAGCTTCAGTTTCAACCAATTAGAGTCTTTGGGGTGCCGACTATTTGAGACCATAAATAGGAGCATGTCCCATTGTTTTACAACAGAGAAAATAACGAGGAGCATACAGTGCATGCAGTAAGAGTTCACGTAGAGATTATATATACTTATATACATAGAGAGAGCGGAGAGAAAGTATTTGGTTGTCTCGGTGGGTTTCGGTAGATAACTTGTCTTGCTGAGGTTCTAGCTATCGATCGAGGTGAGTGGTTTATGTAATGTTTTCAAAATATTCTTATTTTCCTATAAATGTGAAAACCATGAGCTATCATGGGTTTTGATCTATTTCCAAATATCTCTCTATTTCAAGTCAAGCATGTTGGATTTGTTGAAATGTTTTCGGAGTTATTATATATGGTGATATGTGGATAATTGGAAATGCTTATGGAGCATAAGAACTTTAGTGTTGGGCTATCCTAGGGATAAACGTATGTGGCACATGGTGACGTTAGGGCAGAATGACCAATTTAGGGGTCACGTGGTGCGCTACATATTATGAAGTATAACCAACATGTGAAGGGATGATGCGATGTGGAATTATGTCACTAAAGCTTTGATATTATTCTCATATTTTCTAGACTGTGTAAAACGACATCGGTTGATTGGCATATTACATATTTTACTAACTGGGCAACGATGGTTGTTGCTCACTCCACCCTTTTATTTTATAGATGAGTTATTTGGCAAGACAAGGACTAGACGAGCTAAGGTTATGTCATAAGAGCAAGATTTAAGAGTTTTATTATTTTTTGTCCACACAGCCATGTTTGTCTGCTACGCTTTTAATGGTGAGATGCCTTGATTTCTCCATCAACCCACAATAGACACATACACAACGAGCACAGATATCTCAACCGCTTCTATCTTGACCAAGGAGTCAGGAGACTGATGAAATTTTGAACCAAGCGCTTCTAGGAAGAAGGTCGACCACCCCAGAGCCCAACTTCAAACATTTTACATAACACCCGATAATTATTTTTAGGGTCCAACCGACTGTTACAACTCCATGCCCAAGAAAGAACCTTTCAGCAAGGAGTTGGGAAACTTGTTAACACATGGTCTTTTTGGGACTTTTCGACCCCTAAAATAGTGCAGGCAGGCCTAAGAAAGACCTAGTAATGGCCCAAAGGCAATCCAAAGAAGGAAAAGATGACCAAGGGAATTAGGGAGATAGCTCTGAGTGTTGTGGACATCCGCTCGACGGTTGGGTCTAACTATTAGCTAAGGGGACGAGCACCTTTTCATAAAGTAATGTCCGACCACTGAAGGCAAGTTGGGAGACCGACAACTTTATAGCATGAAGTCCCGAAGACAGGTCCACTCTGACACCAATCTAGAGCACATGTTGGTCATCAACAAGGATAAAAGAATTTAAGGGACATAAAGGATGTCAGACCAAGCACTCGGGATGATTTTTGTTGACTTAAAGACCAAGTAAGGCGCTCAGTACATGTTGGCCCAGGAAACCATGCAATTAGACCTAGGTAGATGTCATTTCGTCCCCATGTGTCGACTGAAGAATGATGGAGTAGCTAGTAAGATTATTGTGAGGCCAAATCTACTTTCTCACCCCCTTAATGTAGATAATATCATTTGTTAAAATAAAATAAAATTAAAAAAAAAAACCGTATTAGAAGCATGAGTGTCTACTTTTTATTTGACTTTAATACATTTCATGTCCCCTGCCCTAAATCATCCAACAAACTTCCTATTTCTACTTTAGTACGACGAAGATACTTTAGTACGACAGAGATAATCAAACAGCCATGGTTGGTTGATATGATTTTGATGGGCCAATGGACTCATATGATGATCACGATCACTTGTTGGTATTTTTTCCTTGATGATCAAATCTTCTTCAAATGATATGAAGGATGAGAAGAAAAAAAAAAAAAAAGGTGCTCTTGTTTGTTTGAGACATTGATAGTGTCGTCAATCCTTATGATCTTTGACGACTAGCCAGGAGTGGTAGCATTATGGATGAATTTTTGCCCACACTCTCTCCATGCATGACCGTCGTCGGTCAGAGCAGCAGCATTTCTTGTCCAAAAGTAGGAAGTCTTCCTGCAATTGATTGACAATTGTAACCTTGATTTGTTTAGAAATTAATTTCAAATTCATTCATCATTCATTTGAGCAAAATACCCACGTTCCAGTAGAAAATTCAAGGCCTTCATGACGTAATCAAGTGACACATTTCTATCAACGTCATTAGGGTTCTCATGCGTCGTCAATCGTCATCGACCACCTAGAATTTTTTTTTTTAATTGGAAAATTTTCCTGCTAATTTCATGGAAATTCATTCATAAAAAGCCCAAATTGGGAGAGATGCACCTCAGCGGGAAACCAATATTATTTAGTTCAACTCTGGAAATTCGAATGCACGAAATCAACATAGTGAAAAATAGGTCATGCGATGTGGTATAATGTGTTCTCCCTAATATTGTATAAAAAATATATTTTAAAAGAAAAAGTAATATTGCCAGTAGACATATTTAATTGTATTAGAAAAGAATCATTATACAATGCTAGAATACCAAGTTTACATGACTAAATTATGTTTTAGGATATTAAATTAATTAGTAATCAATCAAAGTGCTTTTTTTAAGAGAAACATCGACAGTACGAGATAAATTTTGTTGAATCAGAAAAAAAAAAAACAATTACATCTTGTCAAGGAAGACAAAGTAATTCAAAACGGAGGAATTTATATAACACAGACTTGATAAGCAAAGCCGCATTTCACAAATAGATGTTAATAGTTTTCCAAGTGGGAATTACACATATTGGGGAGTTTTGATCTAGATAGTCTGCCCCTGGCTTGTAGTCTATTTTTAATGAGCAGCCAACCAGAATATTGATAATAGGGGTTTAAGAAACTTAGCTTTAGATAATCTATAAGTACATTTGTAATTTGTTAACGTTTATGTGGATAAGTTTGCAAATTATGGGTATTTCATCGGTTGTAAGAATAAGGTTGCGACATGTATTTGGAGGAAAGTTCAAATTTTGTCGGGGCCTGCATGGCAAACTCCCGCAGCTATAACCCCGTCTCCCTTCTACTTTTTCCTTCTTTCATTTTAAATATAAATGTTGTTCTTAATGAAGACTAATAACAAAATTGCTCTCAAACTTCAAAGTGTCTCATTGTCCTCTTTGCTTTTTTAATTTCCTCTCTGACTATGAAACTTTACTCTTTCATACTCTCTTCGTCACTTATTATATGACTCTAGCACATGTTCGCCGGTCTATCATCCTTAACCCTATAGGAGTTAGTACAAATGATTTTTAAATTATTGATGTCACTACTAGCTAGATAGATAGAAATAAGTGATTGAAAAACTCTAAATTAAAAGTAGTTTGAATTATCACAAAGGAAAAAAAATAATCTTGAATAACATGCTCCGTTTGTCAACAATTCATGCTTCCGTGCCCAGTAGTTTGAATTATCACAAAGGAAAAAAAAAATCTTGAATAACATGCTCCGTTTGTCAACAATTCCTGCTTCCGTGCCCATCAACAAGTACTGCTGTATCTCACAATTTATATGGTTACAAATTGCCCCAAAACAAAAAGTGTGGTTTTATGCAACGGTTTCAAGAGAGGAATTTCTATAATAGAAATTCAACTTTCAGACGAGCAAAGCTCAAACGGGTTTGTTGGAAGGCTCAAAGTACTTTCAATATTCTTTTACTATGGTCTCGTTTGGAATGAATTGGATTGGAATGAATTGTATATTATTTTTAAAGAATGCGTAAATAAACACATGAGAAAGTAAGAATTATGATAATTCTAATATTGCTACACAAATTAGAAAATTTTCAGTACACATTTCATGCAAGTAATCATGCTTCGTATATGAAAACAAAGTGGAAGTAGGAAGCATGGTTATACTTAAATATATTTAGCAGAAGGGGCATTTTGATATAAGCACATCATTTTTTAATTATATATTAAGACTAAATAGTTGTTGCTTTTAAAGATTTGATAAAGAGTAATATTACATTTACCATCTATTTGTACAATCACTTGTATCATCTGGTCCATGTCTCTAATATGTTGGCGTACTGACCTTCTAGATATTTATTTTAAATTTATTCTTCATTACAACCTGCAAAATATTAATTTTGAAATTCTCAAGTTGTTGGGAAAATGGGACATCAAGTACTACATCTCATCCCATCCTTAAAACTAATTTTGTCTTTTTATTGGTCCAAATATAATTTCATTTGAGACACAAAGCTTTCATACGTGGTTTTACTCAGCCAATGTTTTTTCAGAGCCGCCCCCATACTAACCTGCTCTGTTTGTATTTGTGGCATATTCATAGAATTTTATGTTTATGATCGAATTCATTTATATTATCAATCACTATGCAAATATCGTCTCAACGAAAAATCAATTAAAATTAAGATCGTTTAATCAATCAATTGTAACAAATACATAAAAGGTTCATAATGTTTTTACCGAAATCGTTAATTTATTTTTACACTTACCATCTATTTATACCAGGTCCATCTCTCTAATATGTTGGCATACTGACCTTCTGGATATTTATTTTAAATTTATTCTTCATTGCAACTAGCAAAATATTAATTTAGAAATTCTCAAGTTGTTGGGAAAATGGGACATCAAGTACTATATCTTATCCCAACCTTAAACTAATTTTGTCTTTTTATTGGTCCAAATAATTTCATTTGAGACACAAAGCTTTCATACGTGGATTTACTCGGCCGACGTTTTTGCAGAGCCGCCCCATCCCTAACCTCCCCTGTTTGTAGCAAAAATATACATTGCGACCTATTCACAAAATTCGCGCTTATAATCGATTCCATTTATATTATCAATCACTATGCAAAAATCGTCTCAACGAAAAATCAATTAAAACTAAAATCGTTTAATTAATCAATTGTAGCAAATAGATAGAAGATTTATAATGTTTTTACCGAATTCGTCCATTTGTTTTTATACCGTTTTCTATGATTAAACGATCTTAATTTCAATTAATTTTTTTATAGAAATGATCTTTATATAGTGATTTATAATAAAATCAGTTCCAAATCATAAACACAAAGTTTCGTAAATAAGCCTATTGGAAAAATTAGGGTCTAATCGCTACATTAAATCACATAAAAATTTAAGAAATAATTCATGCAATTATATATCAAAATTAATGCATGTCAATGAGTAACCAATGTTAAATGAACATGATATAATGGATTAGAAAAACCTAGAAAATACGGTCGAGGCAAGTATTGGATACTTTGTCCTTAAGACAAGATTACACCCCACTACGGTGCTCATGGTTGATCGGCTCATGTCCCACAAGATATAATGACCCCGTCCTTTTAATAGTAGCACTCCAAATCACAAGGCTCCATGAACCACGATTGTGTTAAAAACTGTCTCATATGGACTCAATAAGACTCTAATATATAGTGCACTATAGGTTTATGTAAAACAATGAAAAATTATTTTGTAATTATAGGGGGCTTCCCTATTTATAGAATGTGAAATATCTCTTTAGAAAGCATATGATTATTCATGAAGAGTCAAAAGTTGCAACTCTTCATTTGAGTAGACACATCTTTCTACCAAAAGGCTCAACTTCTAATTTCCATTCAATTAATAAATTTAATAATATTATTATTATTAAATTTTCCAACAAAGCCAATAAATAATTTAAAGAGAAGTTCCTCCTCAATCCTTAACCAACCAAGCAACTGCATGCCCACCTCATTTATGGGCTCTGAATCTTGTTATTGATATGAGTTTGCGGTTACTATAATATATTTTTCTCCTTTTTTTTCCTTCTTTTTTTTTTTTTGCATGTTTTCTATGGGGTAATTAATTAGTATGATCTCTTCTTGCTAAATTTGGTGAATGAGAGAGTGCAAATCACTCTACCCTTTTGATTAAGACAGCTCTTTACCAGGGCTTTTAAGCCCTTTTTCTTTTATCTTTCTAGCAAAAACCCAACATGGTTAATCATCAAAATTATTGCAAAACTACTAATGATTGTCACTCAGTACTACGGTCTTGTGGTATTCCTCTTCACTTAGAAGTAAGAGGTCTTAGGTTCGAATCTCGTGGATGACGAATTCGATACAAAATTAGGTTGCCCATTGTGTAGTTTAGCCGAACTCCCATTTCCCTTAGTCTAAAAATATCGATGTACTAAAAAAAACAACTAATGGTTAGAACAATTACTGGTTCAAACTTTAAAAAATATGGAAATCTTTTGATAAAAGTGATTTTGGGAATGAAGAAAATAGACAGTAGGGTTAGGAAAATTTTCGCAAGCACTATTTGACACGAACATTGTTCTCCCATCAGTTTCACAGAACCTTAACTAATCAAAGTTTCTAATCCAAAACTTGGAAATGACATCCCATCGTTTTTTCTGTAGCATAATATGATTGCTGAAGATTGGTGGGCTTCTCTTTCCTTCTTTTTATCCTTTTGTTTGTCGAAGGCGACCTCCTCTTATTTCTGCTTGAGGCACAAAAACAATAGCTCAGCAAACAAAGCAGATAAAAAGATATTTGGACCCAGCCAATAAAAAGTGAAGGGTTATATATATTTTAGACCAATGTATTGCACCAAGATAATATTATATTAAAAAACATACTAGCTCGGTGCTTTTTCTCTTCCTACCTGTCCCATTGAGAACAAACAAAACCCTAGTTTCCTTCTTTTCCTTTCTGATTTTTTGCCTAATTCTATTCAAGGTATAAAATATCGATGATATCGAAAATATCAGTAATTCAAAAACACGGAAATTTCGATGGAAATATCGGGATATTATCGATATCGATAAAAATTGAATAAAAACCACGGAAATTGTAAGAAAAACTTGGAAATTTTTATTGAAACTTTGCAGGATGTTTATTTAGTCAATTATCTATTAGTTTATCACAAAAAATTGGAAGGAAATGCATTGCATGATAGATATAACTGATTTAAGTTGATTATATAGCGAGCTGGCAAACATTGTAAATGTAGAAAATATGTAGTAATTAATGAAAGAAGTTTAAACACACCATAATCATTTATATATAATGAATTAGTACAATATTTTACACTTTATACATTACATGGTAAGATACATGAGTGACTTAGCAAGGTCTAAAATATCGATGATATCGGAAATATCGGTAGTCCAAAAAAATATCGGTAGTCCAAAAACACGGAAATTTCGATAGAAATATCAGGATATTATGGATATTTTAGACCATGATTCTATTCTTTTATAGACCATATATGTTAGTTTAATGATCATGTAGTCCCAAAGATAACTTTGTCTTATGTTTCTGTTTTTTTATATATTAGAAAATTTCAGTTGTGTTTTCTTATACACATTAAATTGGAATCATGTTTTTGCATGAATAATGTCGGATAGAATTCTCCAACTTTTGCGTCTTTCTATGGTACTTTCGTATGTTGGTAATATGGAAAGTAATCTAACACTTGCACATGTGACTTGAGTCGTAGTTCTGAAATTTGGGTGGTTTTTAGTTTTTTATCAAAGTCCTTGACATTCATGTAATAATGTATTTCTATGTAGATTATTATATTTTTAAATTAAAAATAAAATTTGTAGTTATTTATATTAATGAGATTTTAAATAAAACCTATAATTTATAGGATTAAAAATATTAAAGATGAATTATACTCTTATAGTGTGTGTGTGTGTGATCAAAACTTACCAAAAAATAACGTGATTGCATTCCTTGAGTTGTACAAAGAGAGCAGCCCAAAAGCAATAAACCATAAGTGTAGGGAGAACTATATGAGTTCTGCATCTACCATGAAAAGGTAATATCAATAAGAATTCCTTTAACAACTATAACAATCAGACGAATGCATAGAAAGAAATGGAATCCCATATGAGAAGCGATTGAAATTTGGGAGAAAAGAGGGTGACTTACCAAAAGGGGCTCATACCACTTTTTCTGTCACTCTAATTTTCGGATGAAAACGCTAGTTAAGTAATGGGAAGAAGTAGATCAATAGTTGACAAACAAAAAGCAGGTAATCAAGAATTTATTAAAGTCCTTAACAAACATTATAATCTTAAGTAGCATTTGTAAAACTCCAAGTACCTGGACGAAAACAATCAAGCAATAGGCTACCATTTTCTTATATCAAGCAACAGGTTATCTGTTTTCAAATATCAAGTTCAAGATAGATCAAGTACCTAGATAAACAAGGACGTGAAGCTTGATATTATAATTTCCCAAATCAATGTAAGACAAAAGAATTGGTTGTTGCGATATGGTATACTAACAAATTCAAAACATTTCATACAAATTCAAAAAAAATATTTCTTTACAATCTCTTGTTCATCTGCTTCATTATCATTCTTTATGACACAAAAATTTCTCCATCGTTATCAAAGTTATTCTCAATTAAATGAAAACCAGCAAATAGAACTCACAAAACATCCCTTCCATCACATAACACCATTAAACCCCCAAAATTATTTGACATACTTACCTTTGTGGACAACCATGTTCAAACATTGAAATAGAAATTCACTTAACAGTAATAAGCAACAGTTCCTAAATTCCAGATTCCTAACCCTAAAATTGATTTCCCTGAAATCCCCAATTTACGAAGTTCCTAACCCTAAAACTTAACTCAAAACTCAATCCCATACTCAAATTAGACCTGAAATTAGGGAATATTATAGCTTAATTCCCGCATTAGAAAGAGAAGAAAAAAATATACAATTGAAATTACCCACATGAATACCTTATTACTGACGGTTGTCTTCGGGAAAGGCTTGCGACGGAAGGGAGATCGACGAGGACGGTAGTTGTGCAGTACGAGCAAAAAGAGAGATTTTTAGAATTGAGTGAGAGAGAGAGTGAAGATCGAAGAAGGGTGAGAGAAAAGGACGCCAAGGAGAGGGAAGACTTAAAAAGAACCAGGGTTGGAGAGCGTATTTGGGTTGAGACGGCGGATGGGTGGAAGTGGAATTTGAAAAAGGAATTGGGAATTGCGAAATTAGTGAGAACCCAACAAAGATGAAGATGGAGACGGAGGCCGAGATGAGAGGAGAGCGAGGGGGAGTGGAGGGAATCGGGAGCGGCTTGCGCAGAGACCGGCTAGCGGGATTTTGGGAAAGAAAGAGCAGAGAATGGTTGTTGCTTGTCGCGCCAAGTTGTTTTTCTATTTTTATTTTTATTTTTATTTTTCAAGGATTTTGCGCGACCACTTTTATTGTTCGTCGTGCAAACAATTTTTGCGTGACCACTTCTTCGTGGCGCAAAGTTTTTATTTTTTATTTATTTGAATTTTCAACTTTGTGCAACGACTTATAGATTTTCATCGCGCAAAGACACTTTGAGCGACAACTTCAATTTCTTTGCGCAAACAGATTTTTCTACTAGTGTATTAAACTTGACATGGATACATTCCTAAATCAACAAAATAGAATGTACCCATATAAATTTTAAAAAATGGATTAGATAAAATATTGAACGAAATTTTATATAAAAAAAAATGGGCACATCTTATACTATAAAAAGGGTACATTTTTAACAAATTGGTATATTTAAGAATGGATACATATAAGATTAAAAAATTGAAATTTTTTTATAAAAATTTAATGCGTACAAACTTATTCTAATTTTATTTTTTATCTTCGGAAAATGTTTGAATTGAAAATTAATTAGGAGTTTAATAAGGGTGTGAGTATTAAAACTCTAAATCAATTACTATTTTTTTTATAAAAATTATGTAACTGATAAGGTCCTAGTCAATGAACATTAGAAACTAGAAATCAGATACTAATTTTTCCTTTCTTTTTTAATTTCCCTGAGGTCTAAAATTTCTAAGAGCTATTTGTTTAAGAATTTGATTGCCAAGGAGAAACCATTCTTATAAATAGACTTGGGTGTGGCTTCGATAATACAAGTATTTTAATCATTTAATCTTTTATTTTCATTCACAACCATTTATTTTATGTATTGTTGAATAATACAAATCATTTGAAGTAAAATGACTTGGAAAACAGTAGTCTTTTTCCTTCTCATGCACTCTATGTATTTTTGGATGTATTCGTCTAGCGATACAAAATTTCAAATTGCTCATGTGCCGCCCAGCTACTACATACCTAGTGTTCCATGTCCCTTTACCGCAGACAATATTCTCATACATATGTCTGAGTTCCAATACAGAAAGAGATTCATGCCAGAAGTACTCATTGGATCATTCTTCTTTCCTGCCAGAAGTACTCTTCGGATCATGCCTTTTAAATTTATATGTTCATCACTTCTTTATTGACATAAACATATATATAATTGTTGAGAATGAGTTCTACATTGATAGGATGTGGGATTTTGCATGGGCTTATAAGTAAATTAGGCTACTCCCCATATTACCAATTAATTTTATGATGGAATCTCAACTTTCTTCATAGTATCAGAGCAGATTGTTTCACATGTGAAGCTAAACGGTCACATACGCTTTAAATACGTGCTATCATAATCATATATTTACACAATATCAACAGTAAGTTTGATAAATTCTATAAGAGAATCCATTCTATCTCCAATCTCCTGCAGTCAGAAGTACATCAAACTATATTCGAATTCTTATGCTTATCATTTTTTAATTGCAATAATTTGGTTGCAGTCAAAATTGGATTTTGAATACTCAGTTGCCTATGTCATTACGATATCTTTTCAATGCCACCATAATAAAGAACTGAGGAACAAATAGTCAAAAATTGGTTTCTGAATATTAGTTACCTTTGCTTAATAATTTTCTTTACCTCGATTAGTATGTCACTCATGCATATATGAATTTGTCATGTTTAAACCATAAATCTTCTCCCTGTTCTAATACCATATAGCTTTGATAGATGACTTCATCGAGCTTGCTTAGTTGAGGCGCTTCAGCTCATCAGTCTTCCAATGCTAGATCAGAAACGAAAACAAATATATATAATTGAGGCGCTTCAGCTCATCAATCTTCCAATGCAAGATCAGAAATATATATGCTTACAAAATTGACAACGACATTAGCAGAAAGTGGTTGTATTTATCACTATATCGATTCAACCAAAACTATTAGCATGAAAATTGAAATAGAAATCTAAAACATGCCATGGTTTTCTAGTAGTCATAATTAATTCGATAAAGTAATGGAGAAATTTTTTATTGTGACCAGTACACGGGGGTACACCACATGTTTTTATATAAGTGATGAGAAATTTTATTATTTAAATTATTAACTTTTTAACATACATATCCTACAATTTGTATAATGACATGTGATGTATCACCCCGTGTACCGATTACACTGAAAATTTTCTCAAAGTAATGAACCAACTATTCATATCCTTGATTATATCAAAACTGAATACGAGAAAGAAGAATCTGATGTACTGGGTGTTTACTTCGAAACTCAAATAATTTTGATACAATTAACACGACCAATAATTATAATATAGAAGGTACAATCGTTAACTGCTACCACTCGAATTATTGACGTATTGATCAGCTTTCTTGCTTATTAGCCTAAACTTGTATAGGCTTTAGTCATACAATCAAGTGCTCTGATATCACTAGCTTGTTAGCCTTATGTGGTGATATAATTAAAACACAAATGAAGGAAGTGACTAACATGATCGAAGCGGCAATCATGGAAGTCTAACATGAGAAGGTGAAGGCAGTAGCAATAACAAAATTTTCTACAAACACCTAGCCAGATACAACTATTTTATGAGAAACGTTTGTTGTGAGTCTAGAGTTTGCAAAGATCTTAGTATTTATAATGGCTAAGGCATTAGGGTTCCATTCATAAAAGAATCCCAAATCTCACTTTCTTAGCCTACCAGTTAGGTATCATAATTACTTATTTATCAAGGATTCAATCAGCCTTATTTGATTCCAAGACACACATTCACAAGGCTGATAAAAAGGGATCAAATCTCAAGTTTAGCATTAACCTATATTATTTCATTCCTATTACGGTGAAGATTACTTAAAAGTTGATTTATATTGGACTTAATCCAACATGCATTTCATTTCTGGTAATAGATCGTATCGAATTTTATCAAGTCTCTATACATGTTAGAGAATTGATTTGATTAAGAATTGTCGTTGCGTTGTATATGAAAATGGTATATACGTTAAGCATAATTAAGCTTCAATTAAACACTCAACAAGAAGAAATATAAAAGATTGCTTCTTGTTTTCTTTATTTTTTCGATAATCAACTGTGTTTACATGATGTTGTACACTGAGAAAGTAACAAGTTTTTCCAAAGAATCTGAACATACATACAATTTTCCTATATTCAATTTATCACAAGGAGTACGCTAGCTAATAAGCACATACAGATCATCAAAACTCAAAAAGAAAACTAGATTTTAATTCTTAAATAAGATGAAATTTAGAGGAATGTCTTATACAATTAAATATTAATTATAGTCCCAAGACTCAATTTAATGTCAGTATATGCATTCAATGTCTTTTTTTTTTATGATAACTTATAGTGTCCATGAATTAAATTTTATAAAAATATTGTAAATTATAATACTCATTTGAATTCAAATGAGTCAGCTTTTTTTTTTAACATACGATATTATCTATACTAAGGGGAGGGGGTGTGTTAAGCCTCACAATGGGCTAGCAATATTGTGGTTCAAATTCGCCTTTGGCGAGAATCGAACCTAAGACCTCACTTACAAGTGAAGAGGAATATCATTTGACCGTAGTACTCAGTAGCAAATGAATTAGCTTTTATTTGTTGACATTTTGCATCACCCATTTATGGTAAGTATCTTATATAAGAAATATTTTGGTAGAGGCTTTTCGGTACACTAGTTCAATATTATGTTTAGGTACAGACATTTTCTCGTAGTATAACATATTTAGGTACGGACATTTCGGTACACTAGTTTAGTATTCCTAACAGTGCTCAATCAAGCTTTACAGAGTTGCAGAAATTATGAGAAAAGTTGAAGAACTTCATAAATGTAAAGAGTCGAAGAGATAGAGAGAGGAGAGAGAAAGAGGGAAAAGTATAACTTTGAACAAATTCACATTAATGAGAAATGAGGGGCTACATTAGTACATATAGTGTTTGAGATTCTAACTAACTAGCTTACAATACAAGGTAGCCAGCTAACTAACTCATAACAACCTAATCTTATTACAATCCAATTACACTGTGACACATGGACCAATAGACTAAAGCCATATTAGCATTCTATTATTACTCCCCTTCAATCTCAGCTAGGATATCCAAGCCTGAGATTGATGCAATGTTTGATGAAAACTGGGTTGTGTAATCCTTTAGTCAAAAATGTCTGCAACTTGTGACTCAGTTGAAACATAATGAACTGTAATGTCTCTTTTCTGCACTCTCTTTGACAAAGTGATAATCAGTGTCTAGGTGTTTTATTCGAGAATGAAATACTAGATTTGAACTGAGTGCCAAAGCAGAGATATTGTCACAATGCATAGTAGGTGGAAAAGTTACAAACTCTTTCAAATCTTTGAGCACAGATCTTATCCAGCAAACATCAGCAGTGCAATGTGCTAGTGCTTTGTATTCAACTTCAGTTGAACTTCTGGAGACAAAGGCTTGCTTCTTTGATTGCCATGATGTAGGATTTCCACCCAAATAAACAACATAACCTGTTATTAACCTTCTTATATTTATGTATGCAGCCCAATCAGCATTAGAGAAAGTTGATATATGAAGATCAGTTGAGGGAGTGTAAGTAAGACCACATTCCAAGGTTCCTTGTAAATATCTCATAATTCTTTTCACAAGAAAGAAGTGCATATCAGTAGGCCTAGTCATGTATTGACAAACAACATTGACAGAGTGTGCAATGTCAAGCCTAAAGAATATCAAGTATTGTAATGCCCCACCAAACTTATATAAATGGTAGGATCAGACATAGGCTTGCCTTCAAAGACAAGTAACTGAGTGTGTGGTTTGGATGGAATTGGTGTAGGTCTATAATTTTTCATTCTTGCCTTTTTTTAGTAATTATCTGGCATATTTTAATTGATTGACAAAGAGACTTCCATCTGCCTTATATTGAATAAGAAGTCCAAGAAAGTATGTCAGCTACCCCATATCCTTCAAATCAAATAACTCTCCAAGTTGAGTGATAATCAATTGATATCA